GGACTTTTTCGGTCAACTTGGGGCTTGAGGGCTTCTATGAGAGCTTCGTCTGAGGCATGGATAAGGACGAATAAGAACCGTTGAGCAGTCACCCAAGCAGTACTCGCAGGTCAGGATAGTGCGCTATTTCTGTTCGCACAAGGGCTTCAGGGATTCCCAGATCGACTAGTGAACGTCTGTATCCTGGCGGCAATCAGAATCAGGGCTCATCATATCTGTCGTGTTATCCAATCAGCAACAAACAATGGTACGGAGCATTTCCAAGTGCACATGTGCGAAGTTTCGCTCAAGAATGTCAGTGCACCGCAAAACAAAACATGGGCCCTTGAGAATATTGGGTATCTACAGTATCAGGGGGACGTTATATGCCCAGATTGGGGCAGTTTTTGGGATTAAGACCTTTGAAGGATGTTCATGCTCCGTTGGGTTGTCTGAGCTCTGCTGCAGGTGGGATATTCACGGTACCCAAGCTGGTTTCCCTCTTTCGACTGGCGCCTCCTACGCCAACAGCCCTACCGCGTGTAGAATCCCTCCAGAAAGTTATTTGTAAATAGAAAGTCGTTGAACCGTGACAGTAGGACCACCTGTTTCTAGCTCAATTTCTTGCCTCTTGTGGGTCTTTCTGGGATCCTCTCCGTTACTGCACGGTTGCAGGTCCCAGCTGCTGGGAGCAAATTTCCGGATGGATGCCTGAGCTGGTGACCCAGAGGGCCTCAATACTTTGGAAGATGGTTTTGGGAGATTCCAGTCAAACTATACCGGGAATTGGGGGAATGCGTATTCATAATGATGCAGGCTCCCAAGTCAGGGGCCTGGTGTAGGTCGCGAGGAGGGCTAACCCCTTACGGCCCCACATTTGGAATCTGTTTTCGGAATCGATTCTGGGCACCTCGGAATCTGTTCTAAATCACGTCCATGACTTGACGCAGCCCTGTTAAAAGTGTCAAACTTTTTTGCAGTTGTCAAAGCCAAAGCATGATTTCCTTTTACTTGCTTCTGATTGGGTTTCTTTTTGTTAAGGGTGGGGGTAATTCTATAGGAGCTTGAATTCTGGGTTTTTTTACCCAGTATCAGCTGCGCCTAATCATCTTACACATTGCCCCACAACCTTGTTTCACGTATTTGTGCCGGTACAGCACCCCATGCTTAGCCACTAGTAGCAATGAACATGCAAAGCCGGTCCAGGTCCGTGTGCTGTTGGGCCTCGTGAGGCTCCGTGCAACTTGGCACAGGAATCAATTTTGATTATGACACCCGCTGTCATTGTGATGACTATGGTTGTTCTTATGCTCATGGCTGCAGCAATGTTCATCAATGCTCTACCGCTGGAAACCAGGGAATCATGAAGCACAATTTGACACTTGCAGACTTTCTTTCCCTTCAGCTTTAATCGACTAGCTATCTCTGACATGTAGGCAATGTTGAGAACGGAGTGTCTCAAAATCAGAAGCTCTCGTGGAATCCCCTTGTAAAGGTGCTCATGCAGTTAGAAGGCGGACTTCATCTGTCGTGAATTCTTGCTGACTTCCGCGTTGCACTCAGTTGAGTACGCAACCGATCCTTTTTAGCCAACTCTAGTCCCCCCCACCATGCTATTTGAAGATTTCATGAGAATGAGTAAAGGACGGGTCTCTACGCTTAGGATTCCAGGGTGATATCCTTAAACTCCGAACACCTAGTGGCGTGAATGTACGCGTGATGCTCCCAGGTATGCCCGATGAGGATCTGCGGAGTCCTTTCCTCGGCTTCTTCTGAAGAAGTCTTTCTCAAATTTGCGCTGGGTTTTTGCAAGGGGGGACCCTAATTTGAGACACACCCATGCTTATAGGAGAAAAGTACCGTCTGCGCCGAGCAGCTACACTCCCCTTGTGTGAATGCCAGAGTGCCTAGGAGCGAAGGTCCGACGAATTATACATGTTAGATAGATTCACAGAATGTGGCACTAAAGGAGCTTCATTATGGCTTGTGGAGCAGTTGGGTATTTCGAAAGATCACTGCTGTATACCCCAAACCGTCATATTCCTTACTATTTGCTCCCAATAAAATGGGCCCCTAAATTTTGACATCCCTACGCCCAATCTCTGTGTACCTTTACATATTTCATATACTTCTGTAGCCCGCTTACACGGACCCCAAATCTTTGGAAGCCCGTATGTTACCTGGGGGGTCGGACATCGCATGCTTTCGCGGGTCCCCGTTCCAAGACTTGGCGTAATTAGGGCCCCTCCCCCTCGAAATAGGTTCTTAACCGGCAGAACTGTAGGATGTCCTTGCGCAGGCCGCAGTCCGAATGAACGACACATCGCTAAACTTGTGGGGTTACCAATGGCTCAGCCCGCTGCAGCAGATAGACACACGAAGGCACGGCACCCCAGAACCCTGAACCTTCGATTCTTGACCCAAACCCTGAAGAAGCTCTAGCCAACCAGCATTCGCTTGGGAAGAGGATTTCTGAAGTAACAGAAGCGTCGGAGGGAGCATGCCACCTGCCCACGCACGCACGGAACCCAAGGCTCACCACCTATAGCTACAGCGGCCCGTCTTAAAGAGGCCTTCCCTTGTATTGCATGCCAGTTTGGCGCATTATAAACTCATGCAGACAGCTGAAAGCAATGCATACTCAAATTCAAACACGCTTAACCCAAAACCCCAGATAAAGCCCACAGCATCCAATTTGGCTTGAACAATGGCTGACTTTGACCCGACAGATTACGACGGCCAGGACTCTTGCCTTGCACTGGAGGGTCACAGGATACTTGCTTTCTCGTGCTTTGAGTTTCATGCCACTTCGATCGCAGTCGCCTCTGGCAGCCTGTTTGCAAGCGACGTCGATGCTCGGTGAGGGTTCGCCCTTTACATGCCAGTAAGGCTAAGGTTTCAAGGTTTCGGTGGACCCAATAGCAAGCCTCTTCCAATGAGCTTCATTTGGGAAGTCGAGATTCTGAAGCCTCCTGGAGCCCCTGAAGCTGGAAGTCCAACACCCGAAGCCTTGTTGCATCAAGATCACGATCAAACGCTTGAGCCCTAATTTGCAACACGTAGAACTAGCACATAATGCGGTATGGGGTTCTCTGCGCACTGTGCTGATCAGGGCGGCGGCGATCCCCTGAATCCAGATGACCTCGAGGATGATTTGGGTGGCAAGAATCCACAGGACATGAGAAGCAGTTAGCGAGTCTGGGCTTTTCAGGTTCAGGGGGCTGAAGGCTTGAGAGACCTTCAGGGCCTTTGATGGCATGGGCTTCAATAGGGCTTGTGAGGCCCTGTCTAGAGTCTAGAGGATGCTATTTCAGGAGACCTTGCGCGTACACCCGCGCCCTAAACCGTAAACCTTACGCCCTGAAACTCCGAAGCTTGGAGTCCCTCAACCATGGACCCTTGGCCCCAAGCTCCAATAGTGTTGAACTCCCTAAGCCCGCAATCTCCTAAGCCCCAAACCCTGAATCTCCAGGACACGCCACAGCTGAAAGATGCAGTCCTTTTTGTCATCGACGCCTCAAGCAAGGATGTTGCAGATGCTGGAGTTGTAAGGGGCAACTTCGTATAGATGATGATTACAGAGAAACATGCCCCCACAACATCTGCAGGGAACTCGTACGGTGTCCTGGGGAACATGCAAGAATTGCTAGGTTCCCTAGGTTCACGTGGACGTGTTGAAGTTTCTGGTCCCATCGTGCAATACATCCGGGATTGTAGTGAAGTACAGGGATCCTTGCTTAACGCGTGGCAACGTAGGTTCAGTGCCTGAGAGTACGTGAACGAGGCGAGTTTTGCTTGGAGCTGACTGCCGGGGACACTCTGAGTTAGCAGGATGAGGCAGCCAGATTTCACACTGTATGTCGTCGAGTTCTCAAGGTTTTGCCTTTGGCGGATTAGCAAGGCTATTTAGAATTTATTAGTTAGTGATGTTCGCCTACAGCGCTTCTATGTAGTGTAGCATACCTCAAGCTCAAGGCCTTGAAAGGGATGAGGTTCCTATATTAGACCCCGTGCAGGACTGCTTGAAGCCGCTGAAGCCGGGTGGACGCTGCCTGCTGGCTGAGACTTGGACCTTGAACTGTGTGGCACTTGACTACACCATTCTAAGGGCCCCAAATGCAGCGCCATGGCCTGTCGAAAGTGCTTGTGCTGGGTTGTTCGGTTGCAATGAGCCCTTTTTAGGTAAGATGCCAACTTCCTGAACACATCCCAATCCTGCAATTTTTGAACCTTTCATTCGCTCTATAGCTGCCTCGCCTTCACCAACAGAAATTGCCCCCTGAGCTCCCAGCATGCCCGGTCCCTCCAAAATTTAGCCTTGAGGGTTTCCGGTGTAGGTGTAGGCTTCAGGGTTTCTGTCATGTCCATGTGTCCCTTTTCGGTCTGAAGTTGGCCCTAGCACCGGAACTTGAAAGACTTCATGCCCAACACATTTTGACCCGTGTTTGGGGACCCGAATCGTTCGTTTGGCAGATTCTTGAGAAACTCTGTATGGTATCCCTACTCTATGTAAGCGCCGAACCACAAAATCTTCAAGCCTTAGGCGTGTCTAACCCTACATCTTAATGATGCAAGGAAGCCATGGCTTCGGCCGCATCAGTTCTGAAGGCCAAGGCCGCTCTAATCTGAAGCCGAAGACTGCTTGGGGTTTGGGATTAGGGGTTTGGTGTTTAGGGCCCAGGGATTAGGGATTTGCGGGAAATGATGGGGTGCTGGAGTGAAGTGTGTGTTCTGTTGAGATGACTGTTCTACATGTAGTAGCTGTTTTATGAGATAAGCGTGGGAGCTCTTACATTGATTCCCAGACTTCCAGTTTCTCCAGCCAACACGGAATCTCTGAAAAGACTCGACAAAGACCTTGCTTATGGGTTACCCCTGATAAGAGCAGGTATGCCGAGGTGAAAAGATTCAAAAAAATGACAAGGTATGGATTCTGGTGGCAGTATTTACATTGTTATCATCTGGTGTGCTCGGCATTTCAATTTCTTCGGTTTCCAACACATCTGCCTATGGGCTCTGAGGTCATCTCAAGTCCAGCGGCTTGGCTGCGGAGAAGATCCAGTGTGTTGTGCGATAGTCTCTGAATGTGGAAGTTGGGCTGACAAAGTTTCTGGACGTATGATTGGATTTCTGAGAATGTCGTCTTTGGAGACGAGAAACTCCCGAGAACATGTTAAGACTGCCAAGGGCATTCTGAAGTGCAATAGAATTTCGAGATTTTGAAAACCCTAGCATCCCAATGGGTACTCTGTTTTGAAAATTCGAAAACTCCTGCTCTCTAGAGCCAAGGATGACAAAGTCGGCGTCCTCCTTTATGGAGTGCGCGATAAGCAGAATCCCAACAACTTTGACGGCATCCGGCTTCTCTTGGAGCGCAGGGGTGGATTTAGGGTTTCGGGTTTGGGGGGCTTGGGGGTCTTCTGCCGGTTCTGTGAATTTGTGTTTCCTTGTATTGTGATTAGAGGGGCACCCAAATCGCATAAGAATCGCAGAAGAATGAAGAGGAGATGACCCAAATTCATAAGCTTTGGCAATCCATCTGGCCAGGACCTGGACCGCCCCAGCGAGACTCCGGCTGAATTTGGGTAGCTTTGGAAACTTTGTGTTCCATTTGGGTGCCCCTGAGCAAAACTATAACTGGTATCCACACAGAAGCCACAGTTTTCCTTTTGGGTGTTGCACTTGGGTGTCGGACCACGACACCAGCGTCATAATTGCATTGGCGCCTTTGGTGATTGCAGTACTTTGACTGAAGGATAGATTTCGATGTAAGAAAGCAAGTTAAAGAGGATCGAAGGCACATGCATCACCTCGAAGAGGAATTAGAGTTCGGAAGCAAGCTGTCCAGGGTGCGTGTATGCATGTATGTATAAGAAGACGACGGGTCTTATGTCAGACATGAGGAAACGATGCTAGCCTGAACTATGGCCATTACTCAATCCTGCGCAACGAAGTGCTCTTCTGTAGAGAGAAAAGCAACCTGTTGCAGGACTACTTGTCATGTAGATTAAATCTTCATGTGCCTTACAGACCCGGCGGCAGTGTCTTTTTATGCTTTATGAAGCAAGCCTCCCAGAACTTCTGACACAACCTAGTTCAGTCTATGAAGACTCCTATTACACATGGGAATAATCACCAGCCCCCTTTCCCGGGGGGGGCCCCCCCAGAGTGTCCAGTAAGAGTGGGTCCTCAACGGGGTTTGGGTACTTTCTTCCCATGAAGGCTTCTGATTGAAAAGGCTTCAGTCGCGCATGGGCGTTAACTGAGGGTCCAACTACTCTAGCCCTTATGATCCACATTGCTTGCTGGAGGCTCAGCGAATCAAGCAGCTTCAGCAGGCTCGGACACTCCCAGATTCGGGTATAAGACTCACCAGGGTCTCCAAAAGTTGCAGGGTCCCTTTTTGAGTGGTCTAGTGTCTTGAGATCATCTGAGGGACGTTGGTTCTGGAAATACCCACCTGGTCTTTACTGTGGGCGTTAGGTCACAGCGTCTAGCGGTTTGGGGTGCAGGGCGTGTATACCCTGAAAACATACATGCACGAGTATGTGCGAGCGTATCTGAATCAGGGCTTCGTATTAGGTGTCTCAAAATTAGATTCTTTTTCAGTGGCCTTCTGGGGAAAAGGATCCTCATATTCTGGGGGGCCAGCCTGTGATCCTCATGCTGAGACATAGCTTCATGGGCCATAGACATTGAACGCCGGAAATCTACCTTTTCAACGCGACTTTCCACAGCCCTGTGCATCTCCTATTGCATGCCAGGAGTCGAGCCGGTCACCTGCGCAGCTCGCGGAGCGCTACGGCCCGGTTCTCCCTTCTCCTCCTTGTCTTCTTGTCCTGGTAGTTGCTGCGTGATCCCTTTTTCAGGGTCTGCAGAATTGATGACAGCTGGGAGGGCTGTTCTGTTACGAGGGCGAAGGCCAATTGAAGGAGCGCAGTTCAGCTCTTGCACTTGATTTGTTCAGGTGTTTATTGCATGGTCAAGGATCGTTGTTTGCTTTCTTTCCTTAATTCAATCCGAACCCCAAGCCACTACTTGTGCAGGTGTCGGGCGTGCTGTTCCTGTGTCGGTGGCTTAATGGCATTAAGGTTTTTGGATGTCACGGCCGTGTGTACACTTGTCACCCCACCATATCTGTCGCATGGGCTCGGACACAGCACACAGTGGGAAGATGCCCCGCACATCCTGAGGTTGAAGAGCACGGTGCATTCTTCAGTTTTTCTTGTTGGTGGGGTCCTGGTGGATAAGGGTAGGGGCTGAATGTTGCAGGGCTTCACAGTGAACAGCCTTCCTAGCTTGGCACATGTGTTTGTTTCTTCTGAGCTTGTAGGACGGGCTGCAGAAGTGGCTCTGGAAGTTTCAATGGCAGAAAGGTGCAGAACCTTTAGTACTCGTGGCCAATAAAGCTTCAAACCTGAATGACCCTGAAGCTATAAGGTTTAGACTTTGGGGCTTAACCTGGCAATTTCAGGACGTTTTCTGGACTTCGACAACGATTTTCAATTTAGGTGCAAATCAGCGCCACGGCCGAAATGGCAAGCGCCTTGCACCTTTTTCTTCCAGATCAAGGGCGTTATTTACACAGCAAGACACAAGCATAGTATGCTTCGTTCCTGGTAAGCTCAGGGTCCTTTTCAACTCCCATGCCTGCAGAATCGTCCCATCTCTAGCCTCTAAGTCAAACCTTCACAGTGTCTCATAGCTTCAGGGCACAGTTCGACTCCCGCATCTTCCTTTTCACCTGCAACGATGCGCCTGCCGCGCAGCCTGAAGAGATTGCTGCAGCACGTACCCGCGTGCAGGCAACGGGGACTGGGTATTTGTCGCCAATGGTAGTCGTAGCACATTCAGCAGCCAGCAGCGCCGGCGGCAGCAGCAGGAACCGTTTGACAAGAATTGGATACCAACAAGGCTCCGGCCCTACTGCTCCTCCTTTTCTCATTTGCTCTAAGCATTGTTGTCGCAGCCTGGACTGCCACCATTTTGGCAGATAGCCAGCTGCAGGATCTGATGGACATGGGCGTGGTGGTGGAGTTCTTCCCGCTGCAATTCCCGGAGCAAGACTTCTCCATCGAGCGCTTCTGGGGTGGCCTCCTGCCTGTTGACCCGACAGACTACCTGAAGAGGGCCGCCGTACGCCTTGAGGATTCTTGACCTTAGCCCTGTTCTCTGAGGACCTATGTATTTCGATCCCTTTAACGACGCCCACTGAGGGACAGAGGTTTCTTCATTAGGGTTCTATTCTGAACTGAGTGCTAGATTTGCCGTTTGCCTGTGTACTTGTCTGTACTGCTGGAAAATATTTTGGCCATTTGGTGTGATGAAGACATGAATTATTTAGTTGAGGTGCCTATCTAGTACATCTGTTTGCAAATGGGGCAGTCCGTGCACAGTGCTTCGGCCTGCCACCATACCGACCAACAGTGAGTAGCTTCGACTTGCCTGGTGAAACGAATTCTCTTGTGGCCTCGTCGTGTCTCTGTACTACAGTCTTCTGCAGCCTAGTGATCTATTTCGCAGTTTCCCATGTTCGTGGGCAGGTTACTGCAGACGTCTGTGCACAGTCTCAGTTGGCTGAGGATGTGGAACGAGTGGTGCGCATGCGGGCTCACCGCAAGCGCACGCTGCAGAGGCTGGCTTTCCACCTTTGCCCTGGACTCTCGGCGGTAGTTGGCTGGATGTTGGGCAGTCAAGGCAGGCGCAGGAGTTGGAGGTGATGCGCCAGGTATCAACCGGCTCATCTTACTCTGCAAAACGCCTTCGGATCCTTGTTAACGAGTTTACAGAAGAATCTAGAGGAGATTATTGCTGTCAAATGTTGTTGACATACAGGATCCAGAGCAATATCCGGCAGATGAGACTCATGCTCAGCTAAGCAACTAGGCAGTTCCATCCTTCTCGGGGTGATATCTAGTCAAATGCTTTTTATGCAGTGCGGAGTTCGTGGCCTTTGTTTTGGCTCCATTCCGCTCACAGCTTCGGAAGATCCAAATCATAAGTCTCCAGAGAAACAGGCCAAGACCACTGCCAGTGTTGTGCTTGCATGAAAATAACCAGTTTGTGGGCAGCCTTTGGCTTGTTCTCCTTCGCTCGTCGCAAATGGGTCCAATAAGAAATTATAAGAAAATACGAGAAGCTGGAATAGCAAGTTTTGTTTTAGCCACGAAGTCAAACCATGAACGCACAGCCCAGCATCCTAGACTTCCCCAAGCAAACATGAAACCTGACACGAGGTCACACAACTCTCCTGTCCAATTAAGTTGCTGGCATATGATTTTCCAAGCGGGTTTGGTGGGCCTAAACTTCTCCCCTGCATCGAGGTGTCGAGGCTTCTGTGTCGGTGTTTGTCACAATGCTGGAGGCGAAAGTGCCGGCCCCCGTGTACCTTCTGAATGACGCCCGGCAATCGTGTTGGTGTCTGGATTCGCTCGTATTCAGTTGGTGGTGGGGGGCTTTGTCTGCTTTATAGTCAGGGCTTTGGTAGACCATTGCTGAAGTTGATGATACCCAAGACTTGGGCTGCGTCAGCATGATTTGTCTGGCCATGCCCTGCTCTTGGGGCAATGGGACAATTTTTTGCCGAATCGTATGTGCACAGCCAATAGAATTCCCGCGTACTCATGGGTTTGGGTAGATGCATGCATGCCTCTAGCTTCAGCAACTACATTAGTCATTAGTCATTAGTCATGCAAGATGTCAAAAGTAAGTATGGTGGTGGTAACAATCAGCATGTCGCGGAGTTGTGCGGCACGTGAGCATTGCACACGTGCATGTTCGATTGGGTATTGGGCTGAGGTGTACGAGGAATGGGCTTGCCTTCATTTTCATGAGAGAGAGAGAGAGAGAGACAGAGCTGGGTTGTTGTTCCCCAGAACATTGTGACAATTGGGACACCATTCCTTCTGACCATAAAGCCATTTAAACCCTGAACCCGAAACTCCTGGTACCAAGGAGAACAATAAGCCGCTGAAGGCCGAGTCAAAGCAGATTCTTGGCTTCACTGGAATCGTTTGGAAGTTTCTCGGAATTATGCGTTGTTGTGGAGGTATATATGGAAGTTTCAGCTTTGTACATGTTTTAAAGGGACATGGTAATAAGACTTCTCGGGAGTTTCTAGAAAATTCAGTAAGGATTTTCAAGTAACCCGGGCCAGCAAGCAAACAAACCAGGGGACCAGCAGGGACAAACAAGGACGCATGCACCAATCAGCCTAAGAAAGTTTCTTAATTGATTCAGGGATGATGTTGAGTTCACCTTCCGTGGATGCATTTCATGATGGAAGCTAGGGGATGTCGTCCCAGGCCATGTGCTCAGGGTTTAGGATGACTTTTTTGGAGCTCCATGTTGGTGTGGGAGGGAAGGTAGCCGCCAAGCATCGCGCAGGATCTGCGAGCAGACAGGAGCTTTACTGCACCCCGTAGACGACATTGCCACCTTCGTTGAGGCCAAGGGCTTGGACGGAAGGGGCAGTTTGAAAGCAATGGCGTCAGTGTTTTGTTGAGAGAAAGTGACACGTTTTTCCATGTGATTGCGGGCTTCGGCTGTGAAGGTCTGGTGAAGTTTGTGTGCATTTAGTCGAAACTGCAGCTCAGCACCAGCAATGTGCAATGTCTAAAATCGGCAAGGGCCCTTTTGAGTATCTGATGCAGACCTTGCATTCTGCAACACAACGAGTTGTTGTAGCTTTGCCTTTAGATCCCCAGACACTCTCCTTCAGCAACTGAGCTGGCCTCAGACTCTAACACAGTACGCAGTGACCTTCAGCCTGTAAAGCCAAGACTCCCAGACCATTGGTCCTGGATCGTTTTTTGGTGAGTCTGTTGGGCTGAAGTTGTCATTCAATTTCAGTTGAAGCTCCTATATGCCAACCCAACCATTCGTGTGGCCCTTACTCCTGAAAGCAGAAGGCCTTGCCGCATTGCTGCAAGGTGGCAGGCAACCGGATCTTCGTGACAAGGGCAGAGACGCAGGAGCTGGAGATGCTTCAGTCTTTGCCTTTGCAATCTCCTGTTGGGCAGCCCTCATGATCAAATCAAAGAATCAATGTTGGTCAGTGTGAGTGTTCACCTGCACTTCTTGACTTTCTTGTTGTCCTTTTCGAGTCGGTCGTTTTTCTAGACGCGATGATGCTGACGGCAATGGTGGTGAGAAAATCATGGTGGTAACTCTGATCGTCATTGCGCCGTTGCGGTCATTGCAGTCTAATTATCTGTATGGTTGCCATTTGAGGATGCAAAGCATTTCGGTGATCCCTCGCTGCGGGTGCTGGGTTTCAAGCTGCTTGGCTGATGTTTGCAAAGCATCTTGTGGAGTACATTTGCACATCCTCATCACGGAATACTACCTGCAAGAGCCGTAGATTTCGCTGCAAGTTGTGCTTGGTTTTTGGCACGATCATTATCACGTGGTTGACCATATGAGAAGTCAAGACAAGTTGACCTGTAAGGATTGACAAGCCCTGAACCCCAGCCCCAAATCTCCCAAACCCCAATCACTAAACCCCCTAAAGCCTCAGGTGAATACTCTGCGGGGTTTAGGGTTTAGGGCCTGGTGTTTTTCAGGGGTTGCGGAACCAACTGCGGGTTAAGTGAGGGCTACCGGATCGTTATTCATGGGACCTGGTTCATTTCAATTAGTTTTCAGACTCGTGTGAAGTTCACGTGCCTCGTTCCAGTAAGTGAGGCGGGCTGTATGACGGTTCAGTACATGAGATAGTGCAGTAGGGGTATGGAGTCCTACATCGGAGCACCAAGATTAAGGGGCCTTGTGCTGGGAACACCATAGAAGCCTGTCGTCTAAACGTCTAAGCCGCAAAGTCATGCAGGGGCCTCCGGATTGCCATGTGGGAGGGGTTCCTCACGCCATCCAACATGTACGGCGCCCCATCAAGGGTCCCTACCACAAGAACTGCAGCATTTTGGGTATGTTCCCCAGTTGTTGTTTTCAAGCAGCCACATGGCTCTTTGGATCGCCTCTCCTGCCCGAGAGACACGTTCTTATTGTTTGAAGTTGTCTACGTGCATCTGAGGCCCCTCAATTCCCTGCAAGATCACCACCGTATGTTTCATGCTTATTTCGTCTACCCCAATGAGAGAGGCCAGCATTCGGAATTTGCGGTACGATCTCGGATCGTAAGGGTTCTGGTAGCTGTGGGGAGGTTTCCTTCAGGGTTCATAGCATAGATCAATGTGCCTAAGATTGCATAGCTTTTGGGATTTCTCGTCGCGGAAGGAGGCTTCCTTGAATGGGGCATGATTCAGGACTCCAGGGTTTGGATGGGGACTGCCTGCGGTGTTCAGCTTCGTTTCAACCCTCTCTTGCACGCTTGTCGCATGCAAGGCATAGCTCCAGTGCGCAAGTTGTATTACAATCAGATTCCTTGATCCCATTCCTTGCATGCAGCAACCTCCAGGTGAAAGCTTGCCAGTCCCCGCAAGCTTGCTTGAATCTTATCCTGCTTTTCCGGCACATTGCCATGTTTAAGCAGAGGAGCCCCCCCAAGCAATCAGGATCACTGAAATAGGGCTGCAATTTGAGGTGCTCTCCCTGTATTGAAGCTTTTCCAACGCCTCAAGCTATCACAGCCCAACGCAGCAAGGGCGAACGAGCAACCAAAAATCCAAAGCCCTTTCAGGCTCTCCACTCTTAACAGGTTCGAGTCCGCCTCCAAACACTTGGAACCCGAAGCCTGGAACCTCTGAACTTAACGCCTCCAAAGAAAACTCTTAAACGCCCCATCCGGAGGTTTCACTGGCTCGGCGGCGCTTTTGTCGTCTCTTGTAGGCACGACGGGGGTTTGAAGTTTCTACGGGTCCGAGGGTCCAGGCTTGGGACATGGAGTTGAGGTCGTTCGCAAGCGTGTGCTCAAATGTCTGGAGCTAGTTTCGGTAGAAGGAGGCATGCGCATGAAGTTTTGCTGCGAAGTGCGCTCCTACTTGTAAGTCTTGGGTAAGCCCTAAACTCTAGGACCTAGAAAGGAATCTTTTTTATTCATGATGCAATGATGCTGGCCGGGCAATGGACGCCAAAATGTGGACTGGAAAGCACCTGCCGTGCGTCAAGGCCCTTAAGCCCTGAGATTGCCATATTTCTCGCCACGTTTCACACTGTTCCTTCAATACCCTACCAAACAGTTTGGAACCAGTAACTGCAAGAAAGGAGACCAGAAAATCCTTGCCGCAGGAGTCATGCTGGAGCGTAAGGTTCTGGCCGTGGCCAGCTACGTGGCACGGCGAAACTCCGAGCCTGTTCTCGTAGCTCTGCTGCCTCAGGACGGCGGTCAGGGTTTAGGACCGTTCAGGGTTTAGGGTCAGCCTTGGTGTAGGCTTTGGGCATGCTGGGGTTTGAGGGGTGCAGGGTTAAGGCTGCTGCTCCTGGGTTCGGGATAACGCACCAAGCTGTCTTTGGTGGCTCCTCCATCAGCTATTATCACCTGCAACGCACCCTGACTTAATCTGTTCTTCGCCAGCCCAGAATATCCAGGCTCGACCCCCGAGACCTCAAAATCTGAAACCTGTGGCGCAGGCCGAGGTAGAGGAGGACGGCGACCAGAGGCAGCCTCCAGGTTTCCACATGGTGCGACTGCCCTGGGCAGAGGCCAGCGGCTGAGTTTGAGGATGGAATCAGACAGTCAGTATCTGCAGGTTTCTAGGATGATGTGCTGAATCCTAGTCTGGCGGATGGGAACATTTGGAAAAGAAAGGATGTGACTTCTGTAGAACAATCGTCAAACAATGCTTTTAAGGAGAATTTGCCATCCGTGTGACAGCAACAAAGTTAAAGGAGGGTTTTCTTTTTGCTGCATTGGCACTATCAAATATTGGCTGCAAGTTTCAGCCATTGAGATCAGTGTAGCAACTCGTCATCGTTTTTGATACAACCAAAACAACAAGCAACACCGGGTTGAGGGCTGGAAGGCTTCATGCGTAGCTTACCAAAACTAAGGCTTCGCACAGAATGCTGTCGTTTCAAGGGAGGCCTATGCCATGTTTGTTTGGGAGAGCTTGCACGGCTTTGGGAGCCAGGTGCTAGCCTGGAATTCAGGTATTCAGTTTGAGGCAGAGCCGGTCTGATCCACAACCCACCCTTCAACCCAAGTGTCACTAACAAGGTTCAGGTTACCACGTTTCCTATCCTACCCTGACACCAACACTAGCTCTAGCCCTGACCCAAACCCTATCCCTAAACCCTGCCCTTTGCCTACCCCAACCCCTCCCTACCTCCCGACCCATTGCCTGCACATTGACAAAAGTTCCCTCTACTGTGCAGGAAATCCGGCAGCTGAGCTTCTGGGCAGCACGTCTGACTTGATGCAGAAGTGTGCCGTAAACCTCAAGCAATCTCTTAACCTCAGCTATGTTAGCTGCAGGCTTTCCCCTGGCTGATGGCTTTCCGGCAGAGATGCCTAGCGATCTCAAGGCCGGAGACGTTAGTTGGGTGGTCTCTCAAAAAACGCATCCCTAGGCACATATGGAGATTTAGGGATGAGAAGCGGATCATTTGGGATCTGTTCACGGACTGTGTGGCAACTATTCCTTGCTGCCTTCGTACAACGAACTCTGGTAAGGGCCCCACTCCCGACGTTACCTTTGTCACACCCCCAGATGTGTGAACCCGAGGGGCTACTTCAATAGGGTTTGGTGTGTGTAAATCATATCTCATCATTGCTTAGCTTGGATAACATTTGCCTTTGACTGCGGGGTGGATCTGTCCCAGGGTTTGAAGTGTAGTTCAGGGCAAAGCCTCAACAGCCTACACGGGTCTCCTCGCTGCCCTAAATCCCTCATATCCCAACGTTGTAGTGTGTCAAATTCACAAATGGGTATCCTGAGGCATCCATTGCACAGAATGCTGACTCGGGCAGTTGCACCCAAAACGCTAGAGAGACGCTACTTGCAATAAAGACGCAGACTGTTGTGAGATGCAAATGCTCCATTCGCATGCCAAAAGTTCTTGCAACTGCTACCCCAGGACAAAGCACGAGATGTGGCGCCTTGGCAGTGGTCGACTTTTCAGAATGTCAAGGGATACTATGAGTGATTCTCAAGGTTTCGGTCGTCCTTAGTCAGGCATGCTAACTGACTTGCGTTCCTGAATACTACAAGACGCCCCTCCCCGCCAGCTTCCAACCGTGATCACGTGTTAGTAGGGAAGCATATTTAAGGCTTCAGCCACCCCGTACCTCCGCCTTCCCTGCGATAAAACTACCCCTTAGGCAAAAGCAATTCCATTGACAACTCCTCTCTATGCCAGTTTGACGCCTGTTTTCTCTGTCCCCCAGAGGGGAGAAGAAAATGCGCGTGTATTCCCTGCATGATCCTTGTATGTCTCGGTATCGGAGCATGTTACAGTAAAGACATGCACCTCCCCCATCCATGCCTTAAGTACAAAGAGCCAGAGGTTCGATGTTTGCAGCTGCCGGACTTCACTCCAGGCTGCGCGGAGAATCCAGCTCCCCGGCTGAGGAGCAGTGGTGGGTTTAGGCGGTTTAGGCTTTGTAGTCTAGGGTGCTGGCGTCAGTATTTAGAGTGCAGGGTTTGCGCTGTGCCGGCAATACGCAACTGACAAGTGCAAGCAGCCTAAGCCCAAGTAGGGTCATAGACCTGTTATAGCCCAAAACACCCTTATTCGCCATGATGGAGTGCACCGCTGTCTCGCAAAGTGCTTAGTTCGTTCCAAGAAGAACGTGATCTTGCTACTCGTAGTTTGAGAAGGAATCCCCATGGAGTCATGCAGTTGCAATCCGTGTGTGATCCTTGTTAGGGGTTTGTACAAGGTTGAGGTAGTACTGTTCATATGGATGGGTGTGGTAACTGTGGTAACCCCAGCATCGAAACTCAGGACCACATGACCGTCGTAGGACTCGCAGGGCATTTATATGGTCCCTAGTTGAGGTTTGGGATTGTCACGTTATGCTTGAGTTGAGGATGCAGGCGTCCAGTCCAGGTCTCGCTCTTGTCTCAAGTGCACTGCAGCAGGCAGCCACTTTGAGCTGTCGTTTGGTGGCATTCCTGGGGGGAAAGAGAAGGCATGATAACCTACGGAAACCATAAAAGGATGATCGACCCGAGTCACCCTCTCTTCCCCTCGCACCGCGGCTCAGGTTCTCCAGAAACATTATGCAGCTGTACAGGCAGGAGTTTGCCAAACAATTTCCCCGTAGACCGTTGCTTTCGGCAGTCTCAGGTTCTTGGACATGACTCAGGTAGATTGTGCTGGTATAAGGGCTGCACGCTTCGCAGTTGGGAATTTCTTGGACTTGTGCACATCGGCAGCTTGTTCGGGTACCTCCACGAAGTCTAGAAAGCCGATGGCAAGCTCGAAGTTTCATTCATTATACACCAAGTCTAGTCTCAGGAGCCATAGTTTTGAAGAGACTCAGGGTTTTCGAGTAAGGGACCCCTTTCCGCAGATTCCAACTTCTTGAGGTGGAGCGGGTTCATAAAGCGGAATAAGTCAGTTTGGGTGGCGTTCTGAATCCGAGGTCCCTCGGAATCCTTATAGGAAGTTCGAAAGCATCGAACATGCCGGCGGAAGTGGCACATAATTCTGTTTCCTCAACCGATTGGAGTATAATTGTTGCTACTACTGTCATTACTTCATGCCCCGTATGTGTTAACCGCTTGACCCAGGTCCTGGACCTGCTCCCTGACCTCAAAGCCATAAACCCCATGTACTCAATCCACTTCTGTAATGGCTGAGGTCCGAAACCCCAAACCCAAAGTCTGGAACCCTGACCCCAAAGCCATAAGCCCGAGAAAAAGACAACGCGCAGGCCTTGGCTCTTTCAGAAGAACAGCCGCTTCGTTGCAAAGTCGTCGACTTGACATGCTTAAGGGTGCGATGCCTACAAAAGGTGGTATGCCAGGATATGGGTATTGGGAGATGTGGGTGTGTCCAAAATGTTTGGGTATGCACAGGGTGCGCGCGGACATCCGTTCCATACCCCGATCCATAGAGTATGGATCATGGGGGGTGTTCTCGTTCAATATTCCTTCAGTCCAGATTCAGTCCAGAACCTCATACACAGAGCAAACTGCGATCCACAGGGTATGGACCAACCCCGTCATTCTATGGGGTATGGATCAGCATGTTTCGTGTGGGTAACCAAAAGCCTGGATCGATGGCACGCTCTTCCACATTCGTGTTTATAGGTATCATTTAATGAATTTGCGAACTTATTGTCAAACATGGCAGCTAGATTTTCAGAGTGAGGTGTCATTATCGTGTGGACATTATGTCTTCTAACATGAGGTGCGGCCCCCCCAAAACCATTGAGGCCAAATCCATAATTCAGATGGATTGATTTTCCTGTTAGTGCCCCGCTAGCTTTTCATATGCAGGTGACTACTTTGCAATGACTCGTGCCACGCTATCCACTTCAAGCTGTAACTGTAAATCCCGCCCTCCGACAGCCCCAACATACATTGAAGGTCTCTAAGGGTAAACCACTTTCGAAGAATCCCCGCCTAAGGCCTGAGGAGACCGTGGACGTCCTGCAGCCAGATGCTGCACATCTAGAGACGAAGAAACCCCTCTTCGTAGCGTGGAAGGAGGTGGCTGGAACGGGATGTTTGGGGTTCAGGAGTAGGAAGAAGGCTTGGGGTTTGAGATTTCAGGTGTAGGGCTGTGGGAAAGAGTAAGAGAAGAGGAGTTTCACCTTCAGCGCGAAAAATTGTCCCTCCACTCTAGGACAAGCCTGTGCCAACTTGGGTATGTACTGCCCACTGTTTTGAGTCTTCGACCCTGGTAGTTCTGGCATATCATGCAATTCTATAAGACCATCAGGCTGAAAAAGCTGGTGGCCGCATCCAGCTTCACAGTCCACTGAGCTCCCAGGAGCTGAAGCCCACAACCTGAAGCCCAACTCCTGGTAGCCTAAGCCATCCAAAGACCTCAACCCTACGCCCGCACTCCTGTTTCCGAAGCTCCGAAGCTCAGAGCCCGAAGCTCCGGTCATCGTAGCCATCGCCCATCTTCTGCTTGTGTCTACTCGTATGTCATTTTGAGGCTGCTGCCACTCCTCGCACTCCTTAGTCGTGAAATCTTTCATTTACATTATTCTTACGGGCAACGCCCAAAGTCTGAATCATATACCTTTTGAATCTTGTTGCTGGACCGTAACCCTAAATCTCCAACCCGTCTTCCTAGAAAGCTTTCTGTAGCACCTGTCAGTTCCAGGCCGTCGACGCTGCGGCGCCGCAGAGGGCGAAACGTGCGGCGGGAGATGGCGAGGTGCAAGGGTGATTTTGGGGATTACGGCGTTTAGGGGTGCTGTGGTTTCGGCTTATATGGATGGCGGTTTAAGTTTGACTTCTTGTCCAAAAGCACTCCGAAGTAGGGGCAATTTTGTGACGCCTACTCCATACATGGCTATCGTTTCGGGCGTGTTGGGTTTAGGCTGCAAGGTTTGTGGCATTCTTGTGGGTAAGCGCTGTGATGCATTAGTTATGTATTATGGTGTTGATGGTGGTGTTCATGATGGTTGACGGTTGACGGCTGATGTTTGCTGGTTGATAGTTGAGGTTTGCAGGGTTACTCAGGGGTCTTGACCGTTTTTGGTTCCGATTTGTGAAAAGTCTTTGAAGCATACCGGTATGAGTAGGGTGTCAAGCTGCCATCGTGGAATCAAACCCTGACGCCCAAAATCGAAAGAAGCTGAAAGACCCTGAGCTCAAGACAGGGAGCTGCGAAACGCCCTCGGAAAGAGGCGCCGGCGGCTCCTGCGGATGTGGAGGCTAGCATATGGGGGCTGATTGCATGAGCTTTATGGTTCCGGGCTCCGCTTGGTAAACTAACTTGGAACCGCTTATGGGCCAACTTATGGGTTTCCTTAGAAGGGCAGTCGTGTTTCTAGGACCCCTTTCTAGTTTCCTTGTTAGTGCAACAGAGTCGAGTGTAGGATTTTGCATTTAGGGTGTACCTGCATTGGCAGGATGTGGAAACAGAAGTAGAGGTAGGCTTTGGGACATGGTTCTCGCCCACATGAAGTTGCAAAGCATGATGGTACTGAAGGAGAGTTTCTGAGTGTAGTTTCGATGGATGCTCGGGAAAATCCATCACCTTCGGACAACTTTTTTGTTCAGGCCTGCCCCCGGGATAAGTCTGGGATGGATTCCCTCTTGCGTCTTGGCTGGCTCAGCAGCTTTGCATTCATAGATGCCCCCCACATGGTGCGAAGCCAGGTTAAGATCCCAACAGATCCTAACATATCTCTCTGCTCCCTCGCGATGTCTCGGCGCTCCAACTCCGGTGCTCTGCCCCTCGTGGCCGTTCTCTTCGGCCTCTATGCCTTGAGCTTCAGCTGTTCCCGGAATTATCTTTTTGCTTAGGTTTCAGTGGTGGGTCCTGAACCACAAGGGGCTTTCTAAAGGTCCTGCCTCGTACGGCCTGGAGAAAGAGGATATAGAAAGTCATATAGCACCTGTTAACCAAGCCTACACCGTGCAATGTCTTCACCCCAAACCGTTCGCTTAAACATAGTTTTATTGACAACCGAGGACTTTTGTGGGACCCTCAGCCGACCGACGCCGCGGCACCGCCCTTCGCGCAGGTGGTGAGAGCGTTCCCACAGGCCGCCCGCCAACCAGCACGTTTTTGGGGCTGGCCATCCGACATGCCCTAAAAGGTCGGTGGATAACTCCCTGTATAAACCTACTTTCCAATTGATTTTCCGTTTGATTTTTGCGTCGCTCTACTGTGTTCTGAGCCGTCTGCCGGAAAGCCTAAACCTTCAACACTAAATTGCAGAAGAGCGGCCTTTGGGAAGGCTTGGTGTGGCCTTCGCCGGAGGCAGAGGAGAAGCTGCGGGAGGCGCACATTTGGGGAAGAGTACGGAATTTTCAAGATTTTGTGAGGGGGTTGGGGGTTTAATGTTTCAGGGGTTTGGGTTTTGGTTGTGAGAGCCTTGCAGGCCCATTGTAGGCCAAAAAAGACTGGGTAAGGCTCCAGTGACGCGGGTTGGATATGGCAGTTCATTGGGATGTTGCATGGGTTGTTTGGAGCTCAGCATGGAGTTCTGTGGTTGTGTACCTTCCGAGCCTCTGCCAGAAAACCCATAGACACAAAACCCTCAAATCCCCCAGCGCCTACACCTAAAGACGTGGACTGAACTTGCAGAACTCTGCGTCTTCATCCCAAACTAGATGCCTGCATGTCCCAGACCCCAAAGCCCATGGCTTAGGTGGACGGCATCAAGCTCTTCCCAACCCATGCCTGGAAGGCCTCATCTCTCAAGACACATTGTAGAGGGAACATGGGAGTTTGACATTAATGTACTGGAAACAATAGGGAAATTGGGAAAAATAGAGAAGTAGTAAACACGATGAAGGGAAAGGGGGAGTTGGAAGGGACAGTTGGATTGAAACGCATAACACGAGTTGTGAAGCGAGAATGAAATTTCAGAGCGGAGATCGGAGTGGCTTGAAAGGCCGTGAGACTCATGCCAAACTTGGAGGCGGATGTTGGGTGATCAGCATGAATCCCGCTGTACCCCGTGACATTGCTGATCATTACTGTATATTCTCAGAGTGTATGACTAGTGACCTGCACGTTTTCCAAACTGCTCTCGAAGTGGGAGGATGACATGAACCCCATCGTGGACTCTTCCGTGAAGCTGGGCCATTCTCAGTAAACATGTTCCACATCGTTCAGACGTCATTGGAGAGATTGCATGGTGGTTGAAGGAGCAACACCCCAACTTGAACAACATCCTTACACCCGCAACCCTGAAATCCCAATGCCTTCAGGGCTTAATACCAAGCCCCAAAGTGTCCACGCAAAAACAGTTCCACATGCATTGACAAGCGCAAACGCCAAACCTTAAATGCTCAAACTTGGACCCTAACCGTAACCCTGAACCCCAACAAAGCCCACAACCTAATGATCCCGTGGCAATTCAGGAAGCTGGAGGACACCCCGGTGATCGTCGGTGTGGCGGCAGACTCTCGGATATTTCAGGTTTCGTCCAGGGTTTAGCATTCAGATGTAGCTAGAAGGCTCATCCCAAGGATCAAGTTGCACTCGAAAACCTGCACTTCTTGTGGGTGCTCCCCCGTCTACAGCCTGATCTGCAGGCTACAGGCAAGAAAGTCTGAAACAGCCCAAGCTGAGGATTCGGGCTGCGGGAAGTCCACTTTCCTCCGGCGCATCCTCGGAGCCCTGGGCACCGAGGCGCCCTTTACCTGTCGCAACAGTTTGACGTTGAGGATTTGGCGTTCGGGATACAAAATATATTGTATAAACCTTGAAAATTTGGCAGGTGGTGTCCAGGTGTGCTTGATCATGATCCCTTGCTCCTCCTTTCATTGCAGTATTGGGTACCCAAATGTTACTCCCATTAGGATGGCCCATAGAACAGCACCCTTCCGTTGCTGCCCTTCTGCTCATGCATGGAATAATATGCCAGCATAGAGTCATGTTAAATATTTAGATACTTGGAATTTTCAGTGGTTGGATTCTAGAGGCCCGCAATCCGGAGTTCTGCTTTTTGCCTATGCAGCCTAGACCTTAGACCCTAAGCTGCAAGCATTGCTTGCGTGCTTTGGCAGGTAAAGCCTGGCCACACGGCCATCGGGGACATGATGACTGCCACTGGAACCGAATTCAGAGCTTACAAGACCAGGTCTCCTTTTTGGGCCTTCATTAAGATGATTGGGCGGGCCTCAAGGGAACTGCATTCCTAGAATTGGAAAGCATTAATCTTTGTTGTGAAGTCCGGGACCTGTGTACAATCTCTGCATGTTACCCACTTGCATCATTCTTTGTGTGCTCATACAAAATCAGTTTTCAGCAGCCTTCGGATCTGGCTCAGGTGATCTGCCTCGACGACTACCACACCAACGACCGCGCAGGCCGCAAGGCCACCGGGCTGACCGTCCCTGGGCAGCAGCTCTGGAACATGAATTTGTCGTTGGGTTGTAGGGTTTGAGGGTTTTAGTTGCTTCTAGTCTTGGGAGTAGAAGGTTAACATAAGGTAGACATCAATGGAACGCTCGTGTTTGTGTGTGCTTTTGTTCTACAAGCCCATGCTGCACACGTTGGATTTGTAACGTGCGGGCTTGAAGTCTTGAAGGATCCTTGCGATCCAATGCGGAGTGGGCAAAGCTAGACTTGTAGGTTCCCAAGCCCTGCCGTACTTTCAGCCTGAACTCCAAAACCCCAAGTCCCTCGAAAGCCTGGCACGGAAACCCAAGCGGAAGCCTTACATGCTAAACTGACCCCAGGCCCTGGATGCCCGCGAGAACGACTTTGATCTGATGGGGGTGCAGATCGAAGCCCTGAAGACCGGAAAGGCGGTCCTCTGCTCGGCAAGTGAGGGACCCTTGAGGGTTTAGGATGTGGGCTACAAGGTTGGGGTTGAGGGGTCATGGTCTTGCAGCTTAGAGTCTAATGCATATTTGTTGAGGGGTAATGGCCGCTGGTGAACGTAGAAAGTACTTCATTCATCTAGTAGCCTTGGATGTCGGACGGCTTCTTCTTTTAAAATTGCAGGCAACGCACCCAAGATCCCAGCGCAGATTCTGGAAGCTCGCTTTGCCGGCTGAGGTCTACAAGCCCATCTACAACCACGACACTGGCAACAAAGACCCACCTGAGCTCATCGAGCCCAACAAGGTCCCGGGTGTGGCGTGCAGGGGTTGAGGGTCTTCAGGGTTAGAGTTCAGGGAGTTTGGATGGTCTTAGACTTTCTTTGAGGGTTTGCCTTCGACGAGGTTATGGTCTTCGAGGGCCTTCATCCCATCTACGACGAGAAGGCGCGCTCGCAGTTGGATTTGGCGATCTACATCGACGCTCGGATGTTTTTCAGAGGGGTGGTTATCTGGGAGCTCCCTCGTAAATTTGATTTCAGCTGCAGCTACAGCAGTGGCAGCAACAGTGGCAGCAGTGGCAGCAACAGTGGCAGCGGCGGCAGCAGCAGGACAAGCAGCAGTAAGCTCAGTATCGAGAACTGAAGGAGTAAGCTAAATCACGATCATGTTCGAAGCCTACAAAACGACCGTCCGTGCCGTCCAGTCTCTACTGAAAGGGAGTCTGCTTTCCAAGACTGCCACTAGGTCATGAAGCTCAGCCAAATGCCTTGAACTGGCTTGAGCACCAGCCACAAGAAGATATTACGAAAGCTTCCTCCAGCTTTCGTCCAAGTCCAGCTTTGCTGATCTGTACTAAGGGGGTGTGGGGGTTAGGAAAGCCCAAAAGTGGTCAAATTTGGCCGTGTTTTGCGGGCCAAACCCCACGGCAGGTGGGTTTTCGGGAGGTTTCCTTTCGGGCCTCGAAAAAGGGGTTGACGAGGGGTCTGTCTCGATGCGGTTTCGGGGTGCCGTTTCGGGTGCCGTGGA